ATCTATCTAATCTATCTAATTTGCAGAAGATTTCCTACTTTATTGTAAAAATGATAAAAGCTATAAATTTATTCAAATAAGTAAACTATTCAAGCAAAGATTGCCTAGTAAAATTGTTCGACTACAAAATATGAAATCGCATTGACTGTTTCAGACATTGGTGGTGGTTGGGTACATTTGTTATGCGCGCTATATACTCCGGGTATAACATTTGGTGATGTGGAGCGTTTGTCAGCTGTTAGTTGGCAAGAACAAGACTATAAATTATTTGGCAAACGAGTATGACTTAAAACAATTTTTTGCAGTAAGACCTGGACAATTTGTGCAAGACTTTTGCAAATACCGAGGAAAAGGTGTTAGTTGGCAAGAACAGACTAAAAACTTTTTTGTTCTGGATGTCTGGATGTGATAGGGATGGATTTACCTGATGAATTAAGATATCTGATTCAGCTAATATGAGCGGCTTCTAGCTTGAACTTGCATCTTCATAAGAGATGCGCTGCTGTCGTTTACACATGGAAATTGTGTTAACTATCTTTCAATAATTGATGTGAAATTTTCAAATTTTTTTGAATTTAGGCTTGCATTGCATGTTCTGACCCGCTAATAGCACGTACGGGTATTGCAGTGCCATGCGATGCGGCACTATGCAAAAATCACCTCCATGTCACTTGTGCACAAAGGTAATCGTTGCCCATAATAAAGGACGAGCTGAAAGCTTCACATGTGAAACAGGATGTAATCTTTCAAAAGCAGGATGTACAACTTTAGGATCTTTCAGATTAGGTTTGTTGGTCGATAACACAGAGAAAAGTGTCGACTCGAGCTTATCAAGTAGCGCAAATACAAATAATAATAAGTAACGTTCAAATTTCCATTCATTTGTTTCTTTAAATGTTTAAATCTCTTCACTCTCTGATTTTGGCTCATCTTTTTATATATGTAATGACGATGGAGTGCAGCTGAGATTAGCAGAAAAACCAAAATAGATCACAATAGAAAAGGATAAAAAAAATCTGTGTGATTTCAGTCGCACAGCATATGATGTCGAAACAGTAGATCCACTTTATTTAACTTGCAAGCGTCATGCAAATGAGAATCTGATGAAGCAACGGAAAGCAGTGTAAGTAACTAAAGTATCGGATTTCTTGAAATTTATTTAATTATGCACTGTTTTGGAAAAAAATTCCTCTTACTGAAAACAGATGGCAACAAGAGATGTCTGCTGTTTACTATACCCGAAAAGACGTAGAATATGTGCGCGGTTGAATTATATTTTTCTCTTCTGAACTGTATTCCTAGATCTCCATAAAATTCGATGAATTACGTTGTAATTTTAAAGGTGTGAGTTGGTATATAAACAGGAGGAAGCACGAATGTTAGGAATCCGAAGACGAGTTCTCAATGAACGAGAAGAACGAAAAAGGTTGATTGTGTGAGACAGATTTATTAAATCTTTCTATATTAAATTATTGCAAATTTTTTATATTAGATTATCATGTTCGAACAAGTTAAAACTCTGGAATTATAGGATGCAAATGTTGGAAAGGCACAAAAAAGCAATGAAAGATTTGGAAGGTATTACAATTGCATGGCCTGAGGTTTCTTCTAGTTCGCTTCTATAGACTTTTAAATTTCTTATGAAATTATTAGTTTATTAGGCTACTGTTATTGTTATTCATTACTGTTATTGATTGTACTTACTGACAACTCAAGAAACTAGGCTGAAGAAGATAATGGTCAGACAGGTCGGGCCACCTACGAACTATAAAAGACAACAGATCTGGTGATTCAATATGTTTATTTGAATGATCCGTTTACAAAAATAATTAAAACTTTTTTTATTGCAGCATGATAACAAGCGTCCACGTTTATTTCATACAAGTGCCCAGTATCTCGAACTGTTTTCTGAAAAAGCGAAAAGTAGTGGGATAAGTCGGCAAAAGTTTTTGGAAAATTTTATCAAAGTTGATGGTGCCCAACTACAGTATCTCCCACCTGGTTTTTCAAGCGAATTTATTGAGTTAGTTGATTTTTTGATCAGTTTTATAGTCTTCCAGCTTAGAACTTTTTTATTTCCTTTGCAACGAATTCCAAGTTGCTGATCATAAAGCAAAACCGATTCTATAATAAGCAGTTTTTTGTCCTCGAATTTTCTATTATATTTTCTCTCGTCATTTGTGGCTTTAAAGTTTCAAGTTTTCTAGATATTTCAACCATCGTAAGAATATTATTCCGCAAGAAACTGAAAAGCTGGAAAAACTGAAGCGGGAAAACGAAAAATTACGAACTGAACAGAAAAAGCTACAAGAACTATTGCAGGTAATTTGATTATACTGTTTTGTTGGCCTATCACTAGTTATCAATTTTATATTTATTTTCACACAAGATTTCATTTCGTATAAATAACTGATCATATATTGCATTTCAAACAAGAGCAGATTTGGTGAAATAACATCCGACATTTGTTGGATTTTTAATGCTATGCGCATTACGTATTTTCAGAATCCTGTAGTTTCGTTTTTTGATGATTCGAAGGTACTACAAGAATGGTATGAAACTCTGCATGCTTTGGGATTACGAAAGCTTGAAAAGCCATCACCACCAGTTGAGAATAAAACGAAGTACTAATCTAAGCTGTTTTATAAGACTGAACTTCTTTTTTGGACTTAATGGGAACTAAATTGAGGCACTGTTCGTTTTTGCTATCGATTTTGCAGATCATTTTTTCAGGGGCAACAAAATGAAATATGCTTAATACGTGTGATGACCTCAATTAATAGAGAAAGGATTTCTCAATGAAATGCAAAGATGTGAAAGAACTTGTCAAATCTTATAATAATTCTCACTATTTTTGCGTTTTTTTGCAGGAAGAACAGTCCGAGAAAATCTCAAAGCTTCCTGACTACAAAAGGTCCTTCTACTACCAAAGCCTCGACATCTGGAAAATTGTCAGGAAAAAAAAACTCATTAGGCAGTGTTGCTTTTGAAGAAATCGATTTAAAGATAAACTTCTGTGATGAGTGTAAAAAGGTTTGTATAATCTTCACCAAAATATACAGCAGTAGAATAGTAGAGAAATATTCATTGATCAAAAAATGTGTTTTGCTGGACAGTGTGGATTTGAACAACCGGTCGTACACAGTAATATCGACTAATGTGTTCAGTATGCAAGATCTCATTTTGTATTTCATTTCATGCCGCAAAATTAAAGGTTTGAAGATTAAGTGGGAGGACACCAACTCACTTAAAAATTGAAATCTTCGAAATTTAATCCATGGTTTCAAAAAGAGTAGCAATTTCAGACAACTGAACAGCACCTGATGACTCAATGTGATAAATGCCATAAATATTATCATTTGGCATGTCTAGAACCACCTCTACTGAAGATGCCAAAGAAAACAAGTACTCAGGGATGGATGTGTTCACTGTGTTGTGATGTGAGCAGTGACAGCGATGCTGAAATGGTGGGATAAATTTTACAAAAACATTCTGTTTTTAGACTTGCCAGTTTAAATTTTCTAGAAATACATCTTTTTTAGATTTGTTCAGATACTATTCATCTTTTACGATGTTACTGAAATTTATATATTCTTATGTTTCAAGTGCTTGCTAATCTCACTGTAGTTTCTTCGGACTTACATTTTACGAATTTTTTTGAGGCCTTGGTTTTATTAATGAGCAGTTTTAGATGGATTGTCCTCAAGTAATTTTGTTTAACACTTTGAAGGCAAAAATATTACGCGGTGGTCCGAGAAAATTACGCGATCGATCTGTGGCTTCGGAAAAGCGAAAAGTGGAGAAAGTATGCAAATTAATATTACAATCTTAAATGAGCTTTTCTCTTGCTTTATTAAAGCATCTTATTCATTATTTTAAAGGCCGAATGCCAAGCATCCAAAGCGGCCATACTTTCTGCGAAGCAATCCGAAACCGTTGACAAATGTCCGCACAAGGCTACTCCATTTGTTAGTTTTCCTGTTATTTTCGGAAGTACATCCTTCAAATAGAATATACTTCCAACTAATGCTTAAATTTCTCATTTAGGTTATGCTACAATTTTTGGTGAGTTGCAAAGAGTAAAATAGTTTTTATATGTGTTGCGTAGAAAGAGGAAGACTTTCTAATTGTTCAGTGCAGCAGTTCTTCGGTGAATATAAAAAAATATATTGCATCTTTAAAAGTAAGATGTATTGTAGGTGAGCGTGAGATATCACTTTCCTTTTTCACCTCGAATTAGTCGACCTTTCTATTTAGATTAGCTAAATTGTTTTTGAGTAATTGCCATTTTTCAAAGACTTATGACGTTTTCAGATCTCGCCAGACGAGACGAAGAAAACTACTAATTCTATCCCTACAAATCATTCGGCTCCGACAGCTGTTACTCGTAAGCGACGCATTTCAGATCATCAAAAAAAAAATTCATTTGGTGATTTTAACGGGATTCATCAGCATAATAATTCGGCTAGTCTTCATTTCTTGTTTAA